GACCACGTGCTTGAGATGCATCCTCTGTGATTAGTGGAAAGCCCTGCCTTGCAGTCAAAAAAGAAAAGGAAGCTTTGAGGTTTGACTCCAGATGATTGGCTGAGTGCCAACTCCAGCTTACTGGCCTGGGGCAGCTCCTGCTCTGGAGAATATGGCATAGGGAGGGCTCACAGTGATGTCTTTAAGTATTTGTGGCCTCACTCAATCCGAAGAGATGATTCCAAATTTCTAATTACAGTTTATAGAACTGACCAACTGTTCTGCCCTTAATTACAGTCCTGATATTATTCTTTCTCTACCTGACAAGACTGTACAACCTCTAAAAGAAATCAACAGCCCCACTCTAAAGACACTGCAAAGTCCATTGACTCAAATGAGATTGAAAAAAAAAAATTCTCAATTAAGAGGAGTCTTCAATTCCTCCAGTGTTCTGGGTAATTTAATTCCCTGCCTGACTTAACTGAACTTTAACACGTAAAACCTTCCTATTAAATTGCATTGTCCCAAAGTATATTTCTTGCTAGGTGTGGTGGAGAACCTCTTTTAAGTCCGGTAGTGGCGGGTGGGCAGAGAAAGGCAGATCTCTGTGAGCTCTAGGTGTACAAAGTGAGTTCCAGGCCAACCAGGGCTATATAGTAAGACTCTGTTTCAAAAAAAAAAAAAAAAACCAAAAAACAAAAATCATTTTCTTGACTTTTTGAAGCCAATTTAAGTTTTCTCCAATAATTAAGTTACCAAGCGCTCCTGGAGATGACTATTGTGAAGTCACATCTTGTACAGGGGCACACACAGCTCCATTCTGTCAACACTTCCTTATTTGTTTTCCAATATTCTGCTAATTAAGACTGAAAAGCCATCTCCAGACATAAGATTATTTCTTTCATATTTCATATGGTTTCATATATAACTAGAGTGCAGTGTTGGGGTGACTGGGTCCTGAAATATTTTATATACCTTTCATGCTTTTATAAATGATTTCAAAGTACTACAAGGCCAATTCTCAAAATTAGTTGTGGGCTGGAGAGATAGCTCAGTGGATAAGAGCACTGACTGTTCTTGCATAAGACCTGTGTTCAGTTCCCACCATTCACATGGCAACTAACAACTGTTTGTAACTCCAGTTCCAGGAGATCTGATGCCCTTTTCTTGCTTCTGCAGGCATTGCATGACATGGATGCACTTACATCCATGTGGGCAAAATGCTCATACATGTAAAATAAACTAATAAATTTTAAAAATTAGTTGTATGTCACCCAACAGTGCGACAGCTGAGAAACACATTGTATGGCACTTTTTCCTCACTCATGACAAGATGTTGTCTTAGACTGCCCTGAGGCCAAGGCAGCTACAGCAGCACGATACAGTGGTACCACATCTGTGGTAATAATAACAGTAATAGAGCTAATTGACACTATTGGGATTCTAGCTCTTCCTCCCTCCCCAGCTGCACGTGATCATGGAAGATGCTCAACCACATCGGAAGTGAAAAGTTGATTAGCAGTGGGACTCCCATGATGCAACTTGCAGGAGATCACCATCCATGATGGGGTAGAACTTTATGATGATGCAGCTGTTTGAGGGTGACCCATACTTCTGTAAGTAGCCCTTACGCATGCTCTGTAAGCCAATAAACTCATGGTCTCACCAAGTTGGGCTTTGGTGAAACTGTACTTTGTTCTGTTGTTGGTACTCCTCTGGGGTGATCGGGCATTCATTTGCATCTTTCTAGTCAAGTCAACACAACAACACAGTTAGCTGATTTTATCTTTGTTGTTTGAATATCAGAGTGTACTTACGCAGCTATGGTCCACTGTTTCCCAGGCCACAGTGACAGCACTGTGATATTAAGCAAAAACAAGAAAAGATGTGACAGGAGATGTGAAAACATGAGCTGTAGAGGGCTGTTGCCAGCATTACACAGCACACTGCTTTATGGTAGACTTCATAAATAGAAGGAGTACACTGTAAAATAACAGTAAAAAAGAATACCATAGAAAACGCCCAAACAATAACACAGTTTTATATTATTAACAGGCATATTACTGCATGTAGCTCTGTCCTAGTTTGTTTCTTCATTGCTATGACAAAATTCTCTGAACAATACCAACTTGGAGAGGAATGGGTTTATTTGTCTTACATCTCCCAGGTCACTGTTCATCAGGGAGCCCAAGGTAGGAACTCAGGGCAGGAACCTGGAAACAGGAGCTGGAGCACAGGCCATGGAGGAATGCTGCTTACTGGCTTGCTCCCCTAGCCCCTGCTCAGCCTGCTTTCTTATGCAACACAGGCCCATCTGCCAAGGGATGGCACCACCCACAGTGGGCTGGGCCCTCCTACATCACTCATCAAGAAGCTGCCCCTCAGACATGGCCACAGGCCAGAACAATGAAGGCAATTCCCCAATTGAGGCTCCCTCAACCCAGGTGTGTCAAGTTGACACTAAAGCTGTCCAGCACAAGCTATATGTTATATTTTTCCATGACTGTGCATTGTGGGTGGGTCTGTGTGCATCAGCATCAGCACAAGCACGATGAATGGCGATGGGCATTTGAGAGCAAGTTCTTGAAAGCTAATGTTTATTTATTATTAAAGACACTGCAAAAAATATACAGATTAGGAGCAAGAATCTCATGTGTTTTTGTTTCAGAAGAGCAGAATGTTTTGAGTCTGAACCCACACTGAATCTACCTAATATGGAGGTTTGACTTTAATATGAAAAGGGATGGGGAAGGCAGATTTGCATCTCTGCATTCCTAAGGCAGGCGTAGAATAGTTACTGCTCAGGGAATGAAGGAAGGTGAGAGGGAAAGGAAGATAAATCCAAAAGTACTGAAATCTAAGTGTGGACCCATGTCCCTTCCTCCCTTCGCACTCCTTCCCCTCTCTCTTTTCCCTCCTCTCTTCCTGTCTCTCTTTTAAACTGGCAAATGAAATATATGTGTTTATGGTTCACAAAAAAGAAGACTTTTCAGCAGTCAATGGGATGTAACTGGCCAAAGTGTTGAGAATAAGACACTGAATGCTTAGCCCTAAATGAGACATTTCTACCCACCTGCCCATCCCCACCCAGGTTCGGGGAACATCATGAAAGAGAGCAGAAAGAATATAAGAGTGTGAACTTCTGTCTTTTGGACATGATATGGCTAACACACTCGTGAACTCACAGCTGCTGTGGCTACCTGCACAAGACCTACGGAGTCAAGTTAGCCAACATCCCGACATAGATGAAGCAGGTGATCTCCAGACCCCACCCTTACTGAGGAGCCATTGGCAGCAGACAGTTGCTGGGGGAGAGAGAATCAGTCTAATTTTAGGATGTGGCTACTAGTAGATTTCCCATAGTCCAGTGGATGGCTCCACTCGTGCACATATGAGAAGCACCACCTGGACTTAGTAAGTTATGAAAATAAAAAATAAGTATTAAAAAGGAAGTTTCATGTCTGCTTTATATTTCTTTATTTTCCCTACCAAAGAAACTTTGTAAACTTCATCTAAAAATCATGAAGAATGGAGCCATCTCCTTCTTACAGAAACTCAGCAGGGAAGGGTGCTGTCTTCGGCAGGGAGAGTGTGAGGAGCTGTAAATGGGAACCGGTAACCACAATCATGAGAGCTATGTTCCCTGTAACGACAGAAGTTACAGTAAAATGTCTGAAGCAGACACCTGCCTCTGGGACCCTTCAGAACAAAAGGGGCGAAGGCCTCTTGTGATAAGCAAAGGCCAGTGGAGAGGGAAAAGTGAGAATGAGAACAATCCAGAAATACAAGGTGACAAAAACATGAGCATTTGCGGCCAAGTATGACGCAGCCTCATTGGCAGGGCAAAGCCAGGCGTGAGGTCAAAGGGCTCACAGGAACATAGGTATGCCGTTTCTGTGGAGTGCTGGCCATAAACCGCTCTAGGCAGTGATAACTCAGTCACAATAGCCAGGGCTATTGTGACAAATCAGCAGAGCCAGGGCAGGGTGGATACAGGGCCCTCAGTATTCCCATGCAGGAAGGAACTGGGTGTGTGTTTCGTTGTACAAAATGATGCTTTATTTCATAGTCCGTGTGGAGGGAGGGAAATGAGAGGGAAGCAGCAGTGCCCAGGAACAAAGCTAGGCTTGCACGTTTTTAATTGTCTGGAGGGACTGGGTATGCAGAATTAACGGGGAAAAGGACTGTCTTCCTTTCTCTTCTGAGCTAAGTGTGTCCCACCCATGCCTTCCCTCTCTGGGTCTCTGCCTGGGGCATCTGCCTCATTTCCACCCAGTGTCAGGGATAGTTGGAAAAATTTCCGGGAAACTCTAAGGCAGGCTGCTGTCTCCAACCCAAGACAAGCAGAGCCTGCAAGTCTTAAAAGTCCCATGGCTGCTGCTGGCCAAGAAGCAGCTCCAGACCATCCCAGACCAATCACAACCTTCGCAATCAGCTTTGGGCTGGGCAGATGTTTGGGTCAGCAGGGTTCTTGCTGTGCAAGCATGAAGAACAGAGTTCAGATCCTTAGCGTCCAGGTAAAAAGCTGGGTGTGGTAGAACATGGAAATAAACTTGTAGTCTGGTCCTGTAGCCCTCTGTGTCACAGTGTGTGTTTCTTCTAGATACAAAAAAAAAAAAAAATACTTGGTAGTTCCCTCCCATTTGAAATTCAATTTATATTTGAAAATATTAACTTTTAATTGTTCTATTTAAAAATGCGACCTTGGGGCTGCGGGGATGGCTCAGTTGGTACAAGCATGTGAACCTGAATGTGATCCCCAGTGCCTGTGTTAAGAAGCAATACAAACAAACAAAACCCCACTGATGTGAGCGCGGGGAGGCAAGAGGATTCCTGGGGCTCCTTAGCCAATCCAGTTTAATTGGTGAACTCCAGATCCCAGGGGGAGACTGTCTCAAAAAATGTGGTGGAGATTTCCTAAGGAATGACAACCATGGTTGACCTCTGGCCTCCATTGCACAGGGACACACACACACACACACACACACACACACAGAGAAACTACACTTCCTTCCAGCCAGGATGTCATAAATGAGCTTTATTATAAGTGGTTCCAAGGTTTCCAGACTTCACTGCAGCTAGAAACTTGTATGCAGGGTGAATTTTATAACTGTAGAGTTAATAAAACATCAAATGGAAATGTAACATAATATACCTTCAATAGAAACACACACATTGATATATCACATGTAGAAAATCACGCTCTGCAGGTATGTGGTCTGCACACAGTCTTTGTGGGCTACTGAATTCCATGATGTGGCTTGTAGGATTTCCACATGCCCCATAGGTTATGGGTGTTTCCAGACAGCTTGTACAGGAGCAACATATTACAACTTGGGAAGAGGGGATATCACAGAGCAATTTTTAAAATATTTAATATATTTTTTGTTCTACAAAGAATGATCAGTTCTTAAATATTATATAAACAGTGAAACAAATATACTAGCTTATGGATATATATATATATACACACACAGTTTACTACTTTATACTTCAAAAATGCAAGAAGATAAATCACATTTTATATATTTATATAATTTTAGATCTAATGGACAATTGGATATTGCTCTTGAGTTGGACTTGCTGCATTGGATGCATGCCCATGGCTTGTCACTGGATGGAGAGGGGACCAGTGGGGACTAGGGAACTCATGGAGCCCCATGCTTAACCCCAGAGTGCCATCTTCAAGCAATATTTCAAGTTTTATGATGAACTGGGACTGGGTCGGAAACTTCCAGGCCCACGTGCTATGACTGGGTCGGAAACTTCCAGGCCCAGCTCCACGACTGGGACCAAAGGACGGCTGAAAGCGACTGACCCAGTGGTACTGCATCCTCGGGCCCTGAGTCAGCGAGGAACTTACAAAAGGAGATGTTGAACTACTCATCACAACCCTCAGCTCAGTTTGTAGAAAGTGATGTCAGGATGATGCCTGAGGAGGGAGGCTCCACCTGCCTTCCCACCCTCTAAACTCACAGGCAGAACCGAAAGGGACACAAATGTTTAAGTGAGCACAGATCCTTCAGTAACTACAAGATTCCTGTGAATGAAGACTGAAACACTTAAAAATATTGAGGCTGACTTGAAGGCTGAAAGAAGACCTGACTCACAGTCACTAGGAAGGATGGCTTGCAGAAGTGCTCACGACTAAAGCCTCCATACAATCAGTGGGAGAGACAGTATTTTATCATCAGTGAAATTATCACCCCAAGCTGCATGTTGTGTCAGCCATAGAGTTCTGTTCCTACCTCCACTTCTCCCACACCCAAATGACAAGTTGATATGTTCTGAGAATAGAAATAGAAAAAAATTGAGAGATAAGTTAAAGCTGTTGCAGAAAACTCCACAACTAATTTTCTTACTGTGATATGGAACGGTCTTTGGAAAAAGGAGATGGTATTAAGGGGGTCAAAGGGGGGCTGGAACGGGCACACATGCTCTGAGCTCTTGGTTGGCTGCCGGGCCTCCTCCCTCATTTCTCAGTGTGGCTGCTCCCCACGGGTAAGCACAAGGATTTTGTTCTAGAAGTCCACGGAGATGATAATACTACAGATCCAAATGGTTTTCTGAGGTACCTCCCCCATACTAAACATGTCACCAAGGTGTTATGATTGACAGAGTAGAGAGGGCCAGACTAGACAGGAATACCATTAGAGATGTCTGGGGAAAGGGAATGTGTTGGAACACAGTGTATTTTGGAGGCAGAAGTGTCCACAAGGCTGAGTCAGGAAGTCTGGCCCTGCCAGGGAGGAAAGTAGAGCAAGAGGCCTAAAACTATAGGCCTGCTTTGGGAGAGCTGCTAAGCAGCCAAGGCCCCTCTGTGGGCTCACCTGCCACTGTAGCTTCTACTTGCTGCCTGGACAACAGTAAAACGGCTAAGCAAAGGTCAAGCCAGCATTCGGGGCCAGCATAGCTTTGTTCTACCAAGTCAGGCAGGAATGTTCTCTCAGGCTCTATGATGGGGAATTTCCAAGACTCCTGCCAGACTTCAGGATGGCAAAGTGGGCTAAGCTGAGGGCATCCTGCCCAGGACAGAACAACCAGCCATCCACAGCCACTGCGGTCTCCCATGCCACAGAGGAATAGGGGCTAGAATCTGGTCTGAGTAACTGAGGACATGATCATTAGGAGATAAGTGCTTTGAGGGTGCACACTGCACTAAGTGGCTCTTAAGGGGCATGTTATTGTGGAACATGGGAAAAAATTACGGTAAATTAGATGCATTTTCTAAGACTATACTTCCAATATAGATAAATTATTGAAAACACAGTGAACAGTGTCTGTTTCAAGGTATTTCATTAAGGTGTAACATATGGCATATACATGCTTGTGTCATTTAGAAAAATGGATGTGCTTCTAGACCTCGGGTGCTCTTGGTTGGCTGTTTCCCAGCTGGGTACACATGGAGTTAATTTAAGACACAAAACCCATCTTGGGGGCAGGGAAAGTCTAAAAAATACCTACTTTATTTGCTTTTGTTTAAAAAAATCTGAGGACTGGGAGAAGTGACAACCCTCACAGGTCACAAGAAAGTTCATATTTCTAAAACCCTCAAAGTAACACACAATAAAAGTTATTGCAATGTATGCATGGCGTCACAATGTTCTGACTTAAAAGTCAAAGAACTTCTGACAAGGCATCACCATGGATGACTCTGACGTTGCATGTGAAATAAACCCTAACAGGCTGACCCAGTACTTGCTAAGAAGACCTAGAGGAAGTAAGGGCAGCCCTCCGAGTATGGCAGGAGGAATGGCTGGGCATCACTTGAAGGGAGCTGTGGTATTTTATCTTTAATCCCGCTAAAAATGTATGAACAGGAGCCACTGTGGTCCACCTTGTCCATAATGAACCACCTGGCCTCGCCTCCTTTGTCTGCCCCTCCCCCCAAAGATGTTAGTAGCTTAGCAGAGACGCCCTGTGCGGGTCCGCGCCAGTGGCTATGGGCTAACCCACTGCCTCACACGCACACATGCATGACACGGTACTCTCAGCTTGTCCTGTGTCCACAGCTCTGAGTCCCCTAGCTGGGGAATGGCTAAAGCTCACGGGGGAACCAGCCACAGCAATCCGAGATGCTGAGGACACCGCAGATTCTGAGACTCCAGTGGGGATGGCCAATTGGTGGTAGTGTGGAATGCCTTTTGAGGACATTGCAGGGTGTGTCGCAGCCAAATGCAATGTTTAACACGTGGGCATCAGACATGCTGCCCTGACGACGGTGGGGTTCACATGGGGAGGAGGAGAGAGGCCTAGGGGCAGCTGCTCCTGCGGCAGAGAAGCCTCTCACATGAGCACGCACTTGCCCTTGAGCTTCTCTTTCCGTTTCTGCTGCTTGCTCTTTTTGCCATCGATCTGGAGGCTCACGGTCCTGCGCTTCTCCAGGTTGAGCAGCTCCTGGAAAAGCTCCTTGACGTTGTGGTTGAGCTTGGCGGATGTCTCCATGAAGGCGCACTTCCATGTGCGAGCCAGGGCCTCTGCCTCACTGCTCTGCACCTCGCGGCTGGGGCTCTCGTCGCACTTGTTCCCCACAAGCATGATGGGAATGCTCTCCACGTCCCCCTTGATCTCGCAGATCTGCTCGTAGATGGGCTTGAGTTCCTCCAGGGACTGCCGGCTGGTGATGGAGTAGACCAGAATGAAGGCGTGGCCTTTGGAGATGGACAGCCGTTGCATGGCAGGGAACTGATGGCTCCCGGTCGTGTCGGTGATCTGCAGCGTGCAAATGCTCTTGTCACAGCTGATCACCTGCCGGTAGGTGTCTTCCACAGTTGGGATGTAGCTCTCCCGGAAGGTGCCTTTCACAAACCTCAGGACCAGCGAGCTCTTGCCCACACCACCTGCCCCAAACACAGCCACCCGGTAGTCGTTGCTCTGTTCCGGCATGTTTCTTGAGAGCTCCAGCTAGTGACCAGGAGGTATCTGGTAAAGGAAGCAAATCAGAAAGAATTCATTTGAAAGCCCGGAAAAGCCTGCTTTTGCCTTCTTTTGCTAAATGAGGTGATGAAGTTTGCTTTCACTATCCCCACGTAAAGAACCATTCCAGATTAGAGTCTTCTAAGATTCTAAATCCAAGCTCACTTGACCAAGCCTCAGTTTCCCCTAAGGCAGGCAGTGTACTTTGTGTTAACTAGTAACAGTCTCTTTCTCCTTATTGACCTTGACTCTGAGCATGTTTGCTAATATACAGGCCCTCCCAGCCAGGGAGAAGACACAGAGTCAGCTCAAGGCAGGCAGGAGAGGGGCAGCCTGCAGGGATGAGAAATTGTCATGGTGTGCCTCCAGCATGTAGCCACTGCAGCCTGGCCTCATAGCTTCTCCTGAAGTACTACCACATACCCAATGTTCTGGACCTAAGAATAAGGCTTCATGGGGCTAGGGAGATAGCTTGGGGCATAAAGCACTTGCTGCTCAGGCGTGAGGGCTTGAGTTCAGATCTCTAGGTCCCATGAAAAAGCCAGATGTGATGGCATGTGTCTGTCACGCCAGTTCTGGGTTGGGGTAGAGGTGGATCCACAGAACTCATTGACCAGCCACCCTGGCCAAATGGGTGAGCTCCAGGTTCAGTGACAGACGCTATATAAAGATAAAAATAGTGTGGCCATGCGCCAGTCAATGGCCAGTATCCATGCATATATGGGCAGCACAAATTGGACTTGGTGGATTATTTTTAAAAAGAGAAAGAGGACATGAAGTTGGAGCAGTAAGTGGGGCAGGATCCAGGAGGAGCTGGAGGTGGGGTGGGATGGATAGAACTGAAACCCATTATATGTATGAATGAAATTCTCAAAGAATAATTTTAAAATATTGCGTTAATAAATAAGATTGAGAGCAAAAGAGGAAGACACCCAATATTCAACATGCATTTGCACACATGTGAATTCACACATATATGTACAAACATGTACACAGTGCATACATCATATATACCCCCACATACATAACCTGGCTTTGTTTTCCTTCCAGAGGAGGAGGAGACGAGCAGAGGGTACATTCTCAATATGTATTTAGTATTTCTATTAGTCCTCAATATCCTCCTCCTCTTAGGGAAGCTGTTATCATTATCTTTGCTTATCAATGATCACACTGGGAACAAGGGGCCAGGAATGCTATATACCCTAACATCATTTACCATGGAGGGACACCTGGCCATCCACAGGCTTCCACAGACAGGCCTGACCACTTTGTTTTAGGTATTACTCAAGTCATGGTAGAGACTGTGTCTGTTGGGTAGGAAGTGTTGATTGCTAACTAAGAAGTTTGAATGTTTTAGTCATTTCTTTAAAAAAGTATACAGGAATATATGCTTTACTTTTAAGAATAGTAAGTCGTCGATACTATGAGGACAGTTGTACAATGTACATATTGATGGTTATTAAAACCGAGTCCAGTGGGCTTTTCCTTCCCTACAAACATCACCCTCTAGTATAAGAAATGTGTAAATATACTTTATTTGGGGCTAGAGAAATGACTCAGTAGTTAAAAGTATATACTGCTCTTGCAGAGGATCTGAGTTTGGTTCCCAGCACCCACACTGGGTAGCTCACAACTGCTTGTAATTCAAACCCCAGGGGATCTGATGCCCTCTTTTGGACTCCATAAGCACCTGCACTCATGTGCATGTAGATACAGACACACACTCATACAGATAATTTAAAATAAAATACGATCTTTTAAAAATGTACTTTCTTCATTTAACTATCAAGTACTTGTTTTACCCAGTTCTGTCTTAGGCAAAGAAGGACACATCACATACACACAAGCAATGTCCACATTTTAAAAGCTAAAATAGGCAAGTAATATAGTAAAAATTACATGAATGCAAAGCAGGAATTTGCAGTTTGTGCGGGTAAGCACTGCACCATGCAAACTTTTGACTTTTCTTTGAGTAACTATGGAGCAATAGCAAGTCTCACTGACCAAAATCATTTTCAGAGTCCAATAAAAGTTATTAGCTGCCATATATGTAAGTGTACCCATGTCATGCAGTGCCTGTGGAGGTCAGAAGAAGGTGTCAGATCCCCTGGAACTGTAGTTACAGGCAATTGTTAGCTACCATGTGGTTGCTGGGAGCTAAATCCAGGTCTTCTGCAAGAGCAGCCAGTGCTCTTAACCTCTGAGCCATCTCTCCAGCCCCTGAAAATGTCCATCTTCTGACTTTGTCCTGCATATTTGCTTACAGACCAGCTCAGTCAAGTTGTCAGTTGTTCTAGAATGTACTTTGGAATCTCAAACCTACCAAACAATGCTAAAAGAAAAAAGAGAAAGATGTCATCAAGATATTCATTAACAGAAAACTACAAGAGGGCCTGCTAGGGAGTTTGATTAAGTGTATTAGAGGCTCATAAGGGAATTAGGACCCATTCAGGCATGTAGCATTATGACAAATGGCATCTGGAATCTGACTTGAAGCATCCTGTTACAGCCTCAGTATGGGAGTCTCTCACTGTTGAGAAGGCCCTGTCCACATTCAGGCTTATCTAGTGTTATGACTATTTAGTGCCAGCTGGAGTAGAAGAAAGAATCTAGTTACAGGGTGGCATTTCTTAAGATCTGGACCTCGATGTTACCAAAAGATTCTCAATCCACAGCAAAGGGGTTTTAAGAGTTTGCTGATACAAGGTGACTTATATTTCAGTGTCTCCATAATTCAACTGGCCAAAATACAGAAAGCCACACTGAACTTAAAAGTATCCATGGCCCAAAGAAATATTGGGTGTGTTTTGGCTGAAGTCCAGGTTGGGCCAGAGTCCAGGAAGCTACTGTGTACACGAGTACCAGCGAATGGGTCTCCTTCATCTATGCAACTAGACAGAAATAGATAACTCAACAATTATTTAATAAGCTATATCACAGTATGTGATGAAAGAAGGGGATCTGAAGGAATTGAATGAAAGGTGGGCTGTGAGGAACCGCCTCCCTCTGGAGGGAGCAGGAAACTGGAAGAGGAGCAGGAATCAGGTACCCAAAGGCTGTGAAGTGCCATGTGCAGTTGTGAGAGAATTCTGGGGCAATGACCCTACCCCATCCTCAACTCTAATGGCTCTTACTGAGTTGTAAACAATAGTCTTCCACCTCAGAACCATTCACCTACTTCATAAACATTTCTAAAATGCCACATAGACACTGAAAACTCAGTGTTTACCCAAAAGGAGCTCAGGACAGCCAAGGCAAAAAGCACAAGAGTGGATTCAATACACCTCACAAGGCAGATGCTGTGACACAGTTATAAAAAAAGGCAAGAGAACCCTGTGGGGCATTGGACTCTGCCTGAGTCCAGGGAGCATCTCTTGGAGGGCTGGGTTTTGCCAGATGGCAAAGTGATGGAAGGCTCTGTCTGAAGGCAAGGCCATATGGAAAGGATCAAAGGCAGGATGCACAGCTAGTATCCTGAAAGTTGGTGTCAGTTGGCATCTGGGGCTTGGTGTGAGGAACTGTGTGATTCTGTAAAGATGAGAAGCAGATAAGAGAGGCAAGTTTAGATTAACAGTGGAATGAATAAGAGGAGAGAAGTTCTTAAAGTCAGTTCTTTTAAAATACTGAAAATTTAGTAAGTCTTTCGCTAAGATAGCTACACCAAAAAAAGGTGGGAACAAATTACTCCAATCAGAAATGAAATGGGAAAGAAAGCTTCTGGCCCTAGAGAAATAAAAGGACTATAAGAAATTGGAAGGGCTTCTGGTCTCCCATGTTAGAGACTGTGGAAAAAAAAATACAAATTGGCAAACTGATTAAAAAAGAAATAGAAAACCTGAGTAGCCCTCTAAGAGATTAAGTCAGTAGTCAGACACCACACATAAAGAAGACCCCAGGTCTAGATGACTTCACTGGTGGAATCCACAAGCCCTCAAGGAAAAACAGTACGGTTATTAATAAAATCTTTCCCAAAAGTTGACAAGGAAAGATACAATATTTGTGATTCTTTATTTAGTCTAATATGTCTCTGATACAAAAACTAAACAGATTACAGGAAAAAAACGTATACCAATATCTCATGGTGGTAGATAGAAAAATCCTCAACAAAACACTAGCCACATGAACTCTTTGATATATACAAAAGATCATATAACATTACCAAGTGGGGTTTATACCAAGAAGGCAAGTGATTTCACATTTGAAAATCAAATAATATAATATGGATTGGAGGTAATGGCACTTGCTGCCAAGCCCGACAATTCCTTGAACACAAAAAGGGTATATTGTGAAAAACTCATAGTATGGATGATATTTAAGGGTGGAATTAAATGTTGCCTCCCCAGGGATGGGAGAAAGGCAAAATGTACAGCTGTAGTCCCAAAGGTTTAGGCAAGAAAATAAAGGACACGACTGACTTGACTTACACATCCAGTCTTCTAATAGTCCAGATGGTAAAAGCTGTGGAACTTTTTAAGAAACAGGACCTAGTGAAAAGTTTGGTGATCACTGGGGGTCTGTCTTCAGAGGGGATTGTGGGACCCTGGTTTGTTCCTTTTTCTCTTTTGCTCTACCACCAGCTCCCACCATGAAGTACCACCCCAACCCCAAAGCAGGAGGGTCAACCATAGGATGGAACCCCTAAAAGTTGCTGCCAAATGAACCTTTTTTCTTTCTAAATTGATTATCTCTAATGTTTGCTATAGCACTGGAGAGCTGACTGACACCAAGACCAGAAGTATTAGCCATTGCCCTGGGATGCGGTGAAGTAAGCACTGGGGGATGACAGTTGATTGACTGCAGGTACAGGTTCCCTTCACAGCAATGAAAGCACCCCAACACTGACTGTGGTGGTGGCTCACGGTCCTAAGAACATACTAAAACCATTGAATCATACATCTGAATTGGGTGAATTATACTTCTGGAGAGCTGTTACTTTAAAAAGACACCAAGAGAAATACAATCATCTGTGTGTTATCCAATGTCTCCTGGGTATAAAAATGGTTCCC